ATTAGCTATCCCTCATAGATGGTCCATTACCCATTCCTGCACATCCTTCATCCCATCAACAAATAATAGAGACGTCCGCTATCCTTCTTAAGCTATACAGCTCTGTCAATTGCCTCCTCCTATACATCGTAAGTAGCCTAATATTCCTTCATCTCATCATCAATAAATCATTCAGACATCAGCCATACTTAGTTTCACCTGCAACAAACAATATGGGTAACCGTTATCTCCTCCTTAACCCTTAGCAGCCTAATATTCACATTATCATCCCTTCAGCAACAAATTCAGGCAGCATCTCAATTACAATTGAAAGTAATTTTGAACTGTTGTATCTACTCTTTTTAGAAGCCATTAAAATTATTGTTAGACATTTTTATTACGCTAAAAACAGTTTAATCATATTCACCATTATAGTATTAAGTACATTCAAATTAATTGTATGGGCGTTGTTTAGAGAATCGAAGCAGTTCTTTTTTTCTATCCGCCAATATTTTTACATCTAATTAACATTAATAATAGAGAATGACATAATTGTAGCGTTCTATAGGAATTTCCACTCTAAATCAGTTCCTACAGTTTTATTATTGCACTAATTTTTATCATTTGTTAGTTCTTTTTGACTTAATCCTCCGACATTTAACAAACTTCATTTGCAGCGATCATACACAGTTCTGCACTGGCGTTTGACTTAAACCTCAGGCGTTTAACGTACTTCACTTGTAGCGATCATGTACAGTTGTACAAATCATTAGTGTTCTGCAGTGGCGTTTAACGTAAACTTCAGGCGTTTAACGTACTTCATTTGCACCGATCATACACAGTTATGCAAATCATTAGCGTTCTGCACTGGCGTTTGACTTAAACGTCCGGCATTTAACGTACTTCATTTGCAGCGATCAAACACAGTTGTGCAATTATTAGCGTTCTGCACTGGCGTTTGATACACGTTCTGTTTCATACAAGAAGTCAAACGGATTTAAGTTAGGACTATGCGCCGACCAGGGTACATGACCCGTACGTCTAGTCCAGCGTCTAGGAGAACGTCTAGAAACTCACACATTAGTTCATGCAATAACAATCTGCACTGACCTATGACTCTGATACATTGACCTACTTTTAATGACTTAGTCTGTATACATACGTACGTAATACAAGCCTACAACGTTAACTACTCTAGGCTAGTTGTAAACATAATCATCGTCAATGACACTTAACCTAATCTAACAAATAATACATCAGTACAAAAATGCAAAAACGGATACTGCTAAGTAGCAGCAGATTCAATGCGGCGTTGCGATGTTGTATTTTTCTGCGTAACCTTATCAGGGCCGGACTGTACTTTCAAATACGTTTTTCTCAAAAACGGTGGACATTCAGACCACCAAATATTTACTTAATTTTCTTGTTTTATAGTGGCCTATTACCTCCTGCAAGTTTGCTACTATAAAGTTACAGTTTCTGCCATTAGACGATAGTTATTCTACCTTGACACTGAAAAACGCGATTAGTTAAATTATTCTGAGACGATTTAGAAGTTTTGTCTGTCAGTCAGTGTTTTTAGAGCGATTAAGTTCATACATTTGACATTGTTTGATTCTTATTAATATAGACAAACAAACTAATACTCATTTTTTTTTTAGATTTTATGGACTGCCCTATCAGTAGCGTTAGGACTACAGATACGTGGAGATTATATTCGTGGAGTGCCCTGTATAAAAAAATACGGGCAACTATTCTGTCCCACAGCGGGGAACAGCTACCCCCTGTAAGTTCTCTAAATTATGACAATTTTATGACACGTTGATCTACTTGTTTTTTAGAGACCGAATAGAAACTTTCATTGACGAAAACAAGGCGTTAATGCGAAGGATGTACGGGGACTTTACGATGGGCGAAGAATTCACGGGTGGCACGAAACGAAAGAGATCGGTTAATAAGCCGGGCGTGCCGGATTTACACGCTGATCCGGGACCCGATCCGGTTGTGATGGGCGGAGATTCGTTCTTCGAAAAATTCACGAGGACGCCAAGACAAAACTTCCGAGCAAACCAAACATCGGAAACTGGAAGGTAAAAACAAAAGCTGTGGGGTAATGAGGTTTGCATTTCGTAGTAATGTTACGTACCACATCAAATACATTGTTAAACATAACGATTTTTATGCCAAATAACATTAGGTGTCAAAATCTATTTTCTATTTTCTATTTTCCTTGTAAAAATTCACTAGTGATCTTCCGCAACCATTCCACCCAGAACAAAAAAATGAGGTATATACTACCCCTTTTTAAACAAGACTGATTAAAAAACATGCAAAATCTGTTTTGACTACCAATGATTATTTTATAAGTATTTAATTTCTTAATTCTGTAAAAGAATTTCCATATTAGAATGCGCTTAATAAATAATTCTGAAAATAGGATAAATTGGATAAATAATCGGTTCCTTTTAATTAGAAGGTTTAAATTCCTCTAGTGTCGGCATGTTTCATTAACCAATTAATAATAGATAATTATACAAAATTAATACATTAAGTCAACGGGCAACTAGAAATCAGTGTCACACCTATTGAAAACACGCATTAAGGTATTTGTTTAAATTGTTTGTAATTAATTAATTCGAGCTACATACCTACCCATAATTACCGTCGAAATATTATATAAGACATCAGTATACATGTATCTATATAGTACGTGCTAGATAGTAAATATATATATATAAGTGTAACACCCGTTTATATCTTAATTATTTTTATTAATGCTCTTTAATTACATGTAGTTTATCCATTAATTATCATGTGTCAAAATATAATTATTAATAACGGAAACACCATCAAGATTCTAAAAAAGGAAAATATTGTGTATATAAGTACGTAATACTTCCTCCAGAATGATACACCTTTGTATTTCTTCCCCTAATACTTATCAACAGGGATATTCAAGCATTTTTTACCTCTTAAATTGCTTGAATAGTCCTATAACTATGAATTAGATTATTCAACTTTTAACATAATACAGACTTTCCGACAATTCAATGAAATAAACCGAATTTCAAATTGCAAATTAATAAAAAAGATAATGCAACTTCACCCTCTATATCTACCCCCCGTTCCTGGTGGGTTATCTGCCAATTCTAAAACGTATCCCCCATAAAACGCTGAAACAATATAATTGTTTAAAAATTTTTGTACTCTCTCCATTATAATTATTCGAGTAAATAAAACAATCGAGTGCAGTTTCTCATTTCCCAAACAAGGCCTGCTAATAAGAAAGACCGACCGGAAGCTGAACCCGGAACTGATTAGGGGAGTGTCAAGGTCTCGCGTTAAACAATTGAAATGATACCCTATACAAGTGAATGGTTTTCAATTATTATCTAAGATACATATACATATAATGTAGGTACCTGTGCAACACAAGGGCGTGAAGTATTTTTTCTAGCGTATTTATGACGACCTGTCAGTCTAGTGGCCTTAGAAAAAATGCAAATTGTCTGTAGTAACGAATACGTGGACCCTTGTGACCGAAAAAAAAAGATATTAGACATTAGCCAATAACTTCTGGTCTTTCTTTTCAATTTTTTTATGGTTGTTTTAACTAGTGCCTAGGCAATAGTGCATTAATAAGAAATGTGACTGTTGTCAGTCTGGACAAGGACGCATTTCCGAATACTGTTATTTAATATCCATTCAGGGTGAAATTCTTAGTGATCTAACAGCCGAACATTATACCACAACATTTTTTGCGCTTTTCGATGATAATTCCTTATAATATATGGTTGTTAGGAAAGTCATTTCGTTTTTTTTTTTGTGGAAATAAAAGACAGTTTTCGTATAATAAACAAATACTTTATTAAATTATATATTGACCGTTCTGGTCCAACACCTTTTGCCATCTTTCTGGTAGTAGCATAATTCCACGCTCATAAAATTTTTGGTCTTTGCTGGCAAAAAACTGATCGAGGAGGTTTTTGACCTCCTCATTTGAGGTGAAGGTTTTACCGTCTAAAAAATTTTGGAGTGACCGGAACAAATAATAATCCGATGGTGCCAGGTCTGGAGAATATGGTGGGTGTAGCATTGTATCCCATTCAAGCTGTAAAAGCTTTTGGCGAGTGACCAAACTTGTGTGAGGTCTCGCGTTGTCTTGGTGAAACACTACACCTTTCCTGTTGATTAGTTCTGACCTTTTCTGTTGAAGTGCATCATTCAGTTTGTCCAGCTGATGACAGTAGACTTCCGAATTAATCGTTGTGTTATCCGGTAAAAGCTAAAAAAAAACGATTCCTTTAAAATCCCACCAAACAGACAGCATCACCTTTTTTTGGTGAATATCGGCTTTGGAAATGGTTTGAGCCGGTTCATCTTTTTTGCTCCATGACCTCTTGCGTTTGACGTTGTTGTATACAACCCATTTTTCGTCCCCAGTGATGATGCGCTTCAAAAACGGATCATTTTCGTGACGTTTGAGAAGCGAATCGCAGACGTCAATGCGGCGACACAGATTTCTCTCTGTGAGAACATGGGGAACCCATACATCGAGCTTCGAGGATAATCCCAGGCCTTTCAAGTGGTCATAAACTGTTGAATTTGATAAATTTAACCTCAATCCGATCTCACGTGTTGTTATTCGCCGGTTCACATCAACTAATGCCTTTATCGCGTCTTTATCAGCTTCAACCGGCCTTCCCGAACGTGGTGCATCTTCGACATCAAAATTGCCGGATCGAAATTTAGCGAACCAGTTCTGGCACTGGCATACTGTCAACACACCTTCTCCATACACATCAGTCAATTTCTTTCTGGCTTGAACAGCATTTTTACCCTTTCTGTAGTAAAACAGTAAGATATGTCGAATATGCTGCTTATCGCTCTCCATATTTAAAAGGGCACCAACCAAAAACTACTGCGTAGAATTAATTGGAATTTTTCACACAAAGCCTTGCTATATGAGCTCTCAAAGCATATAAAAATTATACGGCTTAAATGTGAAGTTGGGTGCAAAAGAATACAATTAAATCCTCTGTCGGGAAAAAACGAAATGACTTTCCGAACAACCCAATAGTTCTGCATACATTCCATTTGCATATAGAACAAAGGTCAAAAAGTAATTGTTTTGAAAATTTTTATTACAAAAAAATATTCCTTCGCCCCGAAAATGATATGATAAGGGTGGAGCTGAAAGCTCAAACATACTTTTCCATCTACAGAAAAATATTTTTTAAATAACTTATTTGGAGTTATTTACTTTCATAAAATTTTTGACGGTCTAGTTTTTGACTTTTCGCAGTCCGGACCTTGACCTAGTTGCCGACTGGTGTTTTAGAACGGTAAAAAGATCAAACCCCTACACCAAAACACGACACTGGACATCAACAAAAACGTAATTAAAAGCTTGAAACAGAGAGATTATTTTTATCAAAGATAACACCACTTGTCTCTACTGTGGGTTCACTGATTTATAAACTGGCTAAATGAATTCAACAATCTCACAATTAAACAACTTGGTTTTTAAGTAAACAATTTAACTAAATTCATCAGTAAAGTCAGAAACATTAAGTTCCAGTGTACTAAGGTTTTTCTATCTTCTTCCAAGTGTACCACACCACATTAACATTTTTGAAGGATTTACTTAAATGATATTGTGATTGAGTACATCACTCAAGGTTCAATGTAGATGCCTCAACATTATTTTTAGATAAGTGGCTACTTCTATAAACATAAGGAATGAACAGCTATGGAGAACTCCTAATCGCTCTTTATGGCTGATCTTTCGAGAATGACCCAAGTCACCACCAGGAGTATTTTCCTCGACTTTGACTAACAATAAGATATGAGAACCCTTGTAATACCAAAGATTTTCTTGAGAAATTAAATTAATGTTTTACTTCTCTACTTTGCTTGCTTTTCGAAATGCGTATGGTTCAAACTTGAACTCTCTTAAAACGCTTTTTACTAACCCTAAGGATGGAATTCCGCCAGGGACATAATTAATTGTACATATATTAGATAAACTAAACGTTCTATACATATTAGGTTCAAAGAGAATTTGGCTCATGTAAAGTTTGGTTCAAAGTAATTTCACTGAAAATCATTTGTTCTCTAGGATAAGTATTTTGGACGTTTAGTGTCTATAGCGTGCTGACGCGAGCAACCAAGTTCAAAATCGCGACCCACATCAGGTAGTTTCAATAAATTTCTAACCCAGAACTTGGCAGCAAATAAATTCAATTAATTCAGTGATGTAAATAAGGGGTGTGGCACTCAGAGGTGAGCTGTTAGTCCCAAGCACATTCAAAATCCGACTTGGGCGTCACTAACGTAAGTTACGCCACTGGTTTAAATTCTACCGTATAATTGCAAGTTATGTATCCATGTTATTCCATTCTCTCTTTCATAAACCAATCAATCAATAAAATGAAAATTTCCAGGTGCCTTTATGTTGATTGCAATATAACAATTAATTAAAAATTGTATTATCTCGCTAGCAATTACTCAAGGTCAATCAATGAAAGTAACAAGGAGCAACTGAGAATAATAAAAAAGATATGATAATAATGGCAGTTAATGGTACTAACTTACAGTACATATCTGTCAATATGTTCGATAAATACAAAAATTATATAAAAAAAAACTGAGACAGTAATCGACAACGCATAGTTGCTCAAGTGTTCGTTGGCGTTTCAACTTTTTTATACTCTAACAATAATTTATATTAATTTATCAATGCTTAATGGCGTTAATGATTGTTTATTAACTTATAATGGCGCTCGAATCTATTGTCTAATTGGATAAGTTACAAAAACGGGTACCTACAAANATATCAACTACTCTAAACGGACTACTTAGTCAATTACTTCCTCCTACACTTCCTTAAAAGCCCAAAACTCACTGGTAACCTCCCCCTTTATTCCATCATCAGCAAATAACACAGGCATCAGTTACCC